AAGAAAATTACTGCTATGTAACATTAAGTACTGCCAAATCTAATATTTCAAGATGATTCGTGTTTTAAAGCTGACAGACTCTCACAACTAAGCCTCTGGAAATTGCTTATTGTGTGAGGTTCCTCATTTTTTTCACTGTATTATGTTGTTGTTTGTGGGCTGGGTCCAGATTTATGCTTGGATTGTCAGAAGTGATTCTGGCAGCCCCTCCAGCACTCTGCCTGAAATATTAGAGTCAATAGATGCTGCTGAATGGGTGGTGGGGGAGGTGGACCTCCACAAATTGAGTAGAGGGAGCTGCCATGACCCAAACCCTCTCACAGAAGGAAGATCTTGAATTCAACCCACTGTGCTTAGTTTGTAACTGCTTTTCATTCCTTCTTATGGCTTATACAAACCATACTTAGCTTAACCTAAACAATGTGAGAAACAAATTTCTCTTACACCGTTTAAAAATGATATACAGAAGCTGTAAATTAAAATACTATCAGTTGGTTGCTCAGGAGCTTCCATAGAATTTTAAAAACATTTGCAAGGGAGTAAAAAACTACTGTTTTATTACAACCTCCCATTGATTTGGAAATTGCGGTCAGAAATGCTTAAAGAAAATGCAGCCACTGTGACATAAAACAGGATGCATTTTTGGAAGGACTATATTAAAGGACGTGGACAGGACTAAGTTTAGTCTGATCTCCTCACCCATGCAGAACAAGGCAGACAGGTATCATGGCATGACTACACCCAGTCTATTCCAGAGAGCATACTTATGTGTATATTAGTTAAGTTTATGTGTATTTTAGAATTTCATCATGCATCTGGGAATATGATCACTGTTCCTTGCATGTACCAAGAAGCAATGGGCACTTTCTATAGATACACTTTCTGGGGAATGAAACCATAGCCTGCTCCTAAATTTAGTTTATCCCCTGTACTCCAAGATAGCAGAACAGTTATTCTGGTGGAGTTCTTGAATGTACAGTCAGGCCCTAAGCAAAGCCTTCTCCCCTCCTTGTTCTTCTACCAATTGATAAACAGCCTTCAAAACTTTCCCCCAAAATTATATAGGCAACATAAGCAGGTACCACTCATAATCTGGCAAATGGGATTCTTTGACACTGTAAAACGTATCTGAAACAATGCCTTGGGTAAAGGACCAGTGCATGTTATTATGAACTTGTAATTGTAGACCAATCCAAATGCATATGAGAAGATTGCCCATTTCCCTGTTGGAGCCTTTAAATCAGAGGCAGTCTGGGGGCCATTTTCTCTCCCATACCCACTTTAGGATGCACCCAGACTGCTTCTGCTTCTCCAGCACAAATCCTCTCCCAGGCACCTTAAATGTGCTAAGAAGTTCACATATGCCCACTGTGTCTGTTTCTGTTGCTCCCAGTGTTTCTGGAGGTAAAATTAAAGTTGGCTGTCATGGTGTCTTTTCAATTAAGAAGACTAAAGTACTGCTCTGGTGATACAGGTCTGAGAACTGCTCCTTCCCCATGTGGGATTGTTAACATCCCAAGAAGAGGATTATTGACCAGTGTGGCACATTAGGAAGTACTACTAATTCAACCAGGGAAGGGATTTGGGATGTTCTTCCAGCCTGCCAAGAAGGCAGGCAGGGGTCCTTCTGACTCAGTATGAGCATTAGATGGCGGGTAGTGCTGTGAAATCTTAATGAGACTGTGACAGACCAAACCTTTTGTAGATTGTAGCCAGAGTGACTTTGTGCTGTGCTACTTTGCTGTAGTGGCTGTGGCTAATGTGAATAAGAAATATTTATGGTTACATGCTGAGCAAAACTAAAGAATCAGGAAGGCAAGTAGCCAAGGCCAGGCTGTATTTTGGCTTGCTCAGTTCCAGGGCATTTCATGTGAAAGGGCTTTAAAAACCACTAAAACATAACACATTCTTTAAAATTAACTAAAGTCAACACAGACAACAGAGACAAAGGGGGACAAAGAGGCTTCTGTCTCCTAGGGAAACATCTTCAGTTACAGATGCTACAAAATTTAAGCCATACGTCACGAGATGAAAACCATACAATCCATGTGTAGGTTTCTATCTACACAGGTAGAAAGATTGCTTGTGTAGTAAGTACACAAGCAATTTCCAAATGTACAAAACAAAGGTGTTAATTCTTCCGGCTACCAAATCAAGGGAGTTTAGCATTTAGGTGGAATTTAAAGTAGTTAAAATAGAGCAGGGGTGGGCAACTTGTGATCCTCCAGCTATTTGGTCTTACAGCTTCTACCAGCCCTAGAAAGCATAAGCAATGGTAAGAGATAATGGGAGTTGTAAGCTAAAACAACTGGAGTGCCACAAACTTTGCAACCCTGATGGAACATACACCCAGACCTCTGGGTTCTTCTTAATTAGGCCATATCCCAACCTTTTTGGACCCACGGCACACTTTGGAGCTTGACAAACTGCTGTAGGCATCACCACAAATGTCTAATTAGTGGATCACTACTTTGGTGTCTACCTGTTGCATCTTGTTTTAACATTTGTATTTACTGGATACTACAGTGTCTTTTTAATAAGGGATTATCTAATTCAGCTAATTGCTGGTAGTATGATACAGGTAATGGTTCTTTTAGACATTTGTTTGGCAATGTTCAAGCAGTTACTTCTTTTTGGGAGGAGGTTATTAAGAAGCTAAACTTTGTACTGGAACAGTCTTTAATATTCCTTGATATAAATGTTCTTTTAAGTTATTTACCTGTTTCATGGAGATTAACAAATGATCAGCATAAATTGATTCCCTGTGTCTTTTTGCCAGCTTAACAACTGCTCTTACAACATCGTAAACACTAATGTGTGATGCAATGGTTTGAGGATCTAATTACACTTTCAGTATATGAATCATTGGCATATAGATATCTCCTTCAAATGGATACTTAATTTGGATATTTCATCCACTATGTATAATTGCTAGAATGCTGTATGCATTTCATATGTATTACGTGCTGTGAACATAAACAAATACCCATAACTTTTAAAATAATGAAAAATAATGTATTTTGGGTGCCTGCAGGTAGCACATGGAGTACCATAAGGTGGAGTATCACCTTGCAGGTATCACAAGGTGATACAATCTTGCTTTATATTAGGAATTGAGCAGTAAGGGGTACTGCCTTTTATTTGTCCTGAATCTTCAATGAATCAGCTTAATGGAATGATCCTCCGTTTTAGCATTACAAAAAGAAAAATGTCTCCCCATCCACTTTCTCCCTCTCATGCATCATTTTATATCCCTCTGCCATGTCTCCCTTACCTGCCTTTTCTAAATTAAATAGTTGTAACTTTATAACATTTCCTCACTAGGCGATTATTCCAGTGCTTTGATCATTTTGGTTGCCCCTTCACAAATCCACAATATGTTTTTTGAAGTGGGATGACCTGAACTAGGCACAGTATTGGTTGCACAATTGGTTTATATAAGGGTGGTATGATGTTAGTAGTCTTTCATACTTTACCTAATAATTTCCATCATGAAATTCACCTTTTTCGCTACAGCTGCACATTGAGTTGACATTTTCATCAAGCTGTCAACCTCAGCTCCTCCCTGGTGATTCTCCTGGGTCTCTCAGCAGCTTTTGACACCATCAACCATGGTATCCTTTCTGGACAGGCTGGCTGGATTGGGAGTCAGAAGCACCGTTTTGTGCTGGTTGCACTCCTATCTAGCCAACTGTGCCATGGAGTTCCGTAGGGCTCTATTTTGTCCCCCATGCTTTCAATATCTACATGAAACCACTGGGAGAAGTAATCAGGAAGTTTGGCCTGAAGAGTCATCAGTATGCTGATGACACTCAGCTCTAACTCTTGTTTTCATCTCCAGGTGAGGCAGTGGTTGTGGTAAACTGGTGTCCGAGCTCGGTAATGGACTGGATGTGGCCAATAAGCTGAAGCTCAGTCCAGGTAAGACAGAGGTACTGTTGGTGGGGAGTCTGTCTGTTCAACTGGAGAGTTTTCAACCTATCCTGGACAGGGTTGTGCTCCCCCTAAAAGATAAAGTTTGCAGGATTGAAGTACTTCTAGATCCCAAGTTGTTACTCAGGTGGACTGCTTCCAGAAGTGCTTTTTATCAGGTTTGGCTGATTTATCAGCTGCGTCCTTACTTGGACAAGCAGAACCTTGCCATGGTTATCCATGCACTGGTAGCCTCCCACTTGGATTACTGTAATGCACTCTGCATGGGGCTGGCTTTGAAAATGGTCTGGACCTTGCGGCTTGTCCAGCATTGGGTAGCATTCCTGCTGACAAGAACCAGCACTCATGAGCATGTAACACCGAATTTGGAATTTGATTCCACTGAGGTCCAGTTGGTGCCTACCTCTCTGGTTTTTAGATGCCTATTTAAGATGTTTTTGTTCCATTGTTATTTTAATAGGTGAATTGCTGATTTTTAATGTTTGTAAGATTTTATACTATTAAATGCTGCTGCCTTCATGATTTTAACATAAATGCTAGATATTAATTTTTGGATCCCTTGTACAATATTGATTTTATTTCTTTTTATTCTTCTTCTCTTATTTAATGTTGGTAGTCCATTTATGGATTTTTATTGTTATTGGCCTCATTGTAATTGTGAAGTTTGTTGTGCTGCGTATTGCATTATCATGTTATCTATGGATTTTATCATAATATAAGCTGCCCAGAAAACCTGTGGCTAGTGAGGTGGCATATAAATCAAAAAATCAAGTTAAATATACTCCAGTTTCACAAAACCAGCAAGTTTAATGCAACTTCACACTGCAGGTCTTAAGTGAAATAGTTAATGTTGAGGCTCGTCTTTCCCCCAGCCCTGCCCGATCGGTACAGACTTCTGCTCTGCACTGCACTGCTACATCTACCTTTTGTGCTGGCAAGGACGTTTTTCATGAGAAAACCATTACGGGATTTGTAAGGCAAGTGAATGCAAACTATTAAGTTGTTGCTGTTTGCAAGTCTCACATTTTCCTATTGCCGGGAAGGGAAAACAAAACACTGCAACTTGATATAATCAAGATCTTTTATTGATCTCACTGTAACAGCAACCATTGGTGAGAGTGTTTTCCCAAACACCTGTTTCAGTAAAGACCAGATTTGTACAGAAGTAGCCCAGTGATTGTTTGGACACTCTCTGTTCGTATTTTTAAAAAACAAACAAACAGGATTACATTTAAACAAAGAATATGGAGGTGAGGGAGTGAAGGGGCAATAAATGGGAAGGGCGGCATGTAGAATCAAAAGTCCTTAAATGTGTCATGAACATTCCGTCATCTTACTGGCAGCAGCCTTTTCATTTCTCCCAACAAAAGCCCCCAAAAGCAAGCTGCTCTGCCATGTTATAAATAGTTCTTCCCCTGACTAAGGTGAAGAAAGGCACACTGGATCGCCATCTTGCAGTGATGGAGACATGAGGGGGAAGATGGAGGAGCAAGGTTAGTTTCATTGCATTCCTCATGTAAACAGGGACCAAGGTGCTGATGAATTTCCCCTCATATCTTGTTTGATTACATACAATATTTTTAGATCTGGTTGCTGCTGCATTTGCCACTTGGGTTGCCGTTTTAGATAAGTTACCCTCGATGTGTGTAAAACTGGTTTGGTGAAACATATCTGCTAAACCAGATAATTCCATATAAATCAGTCCTAAGTCATTTCTTCCTGCATTAAAATAATCAATACAGCTTTTTCCTAAAAGTAATATATATATATTTATATATCTGTGTGTGCATAAACATCCACCCACATACATATATTTTGCACTCACCCTCTCTCCACTCTACAGATCTCTTTTTCCACAGTTACCCAATTTTTGCAGATGACTAGCAAAAGCAAACCTTTCAAACTACCACTCTCCCTGTGCAGCCTAGCATCAGGATGAGGGGGGCAAAAAAGGCAAGCAGCTTATTACCATGCAACATTTGCATAAGGAAAATTTGTTTGCTGCCATCTGTTTTATGAACTGTCATACCCTAGTTCAGTTCACATAACAAAACATCGATCTTGTTAACAGGGGCATAAAGTTTAAGAAGAGGCACCACTCGAAATGCCTATCAAGATTTCCTACATGAACTCCTAACCACTGTAGAACATTATTAACAAAAATAGAGAAGGTTCTGTTCCCCAAGCTCATGGGTAGAAAGAAACTGGGAGTTAAAACTCTGTGCTACATCAAACAGCCATATACATTAAGAGAAAGATAAAATGAACAGAACTTGGGGTGGGGGCGGAGTGAAGATCTCTGCATTTTTGATACCAAAAGATCCCAAGTACTAAACTAATCCAGTTGTAAGATCTACAGGAAAATACAGAATATGACCAACTCTAACTGCTAAATGGAAATAACAATCAACTGAAATATCAAGGACATAAGTACCATGAACAAATGAGAGGCACCAGAAATTGCGAAGAGATATTATTATTACTGTGATGGCAGTGGAAAGCAAGTACTCAAGGATGGCATAAAATGCCGCTCCTTGATGAGAAGATGGTGATGATAGCTCGAAGGGATCCACAGCACGAAATGGTCTACTGATGTGAAAACCATCCTTCGATTTGTTAAGGGGTGGACAGCCTTCAATCTTACAGGATCTACTTTGGGTCGTTTTTGTTTTGTGAGAAGCTTTAGGTTCATCCACCAAAGCCGGGTAACTATAATGGGTCAAGCAAGTAAACATACACTAAGAATTAAGAAATTAAAGGACAGGGTGCCTCTCAGCACATACCCAGTTTAGGAATTTATCACAGTACCAAGCTCACAAATCCTTTCATACAAAAGTCCACTATGAATTTTATCCCACTCAGCATTATTTTTCAGTCATGTAATTTAGGGATGGTGGTAGAGTTTTTCCTTTGTAGTTACTATTAGAAACCTTTGCCAATATACTAGTAGTTCCTGATTACCTTTTGCCCATCCCTACCTTAATGAAACTAGCACCACTGCTCAAAGAATGGAGCCCTAGTTGAATTACAAATGCAAACCAGGTAAGCAACTTGCACCCCATCACTAACTACCATAGACTGTAAGAGAACCCCCAAATAATTTGGCCCAGGAAGCATTTTTCATTGGTGGAAATGTTTCTATTGACACACTGGGGAAATTATCTTTGGTGACAGTAAGAACTTCAGTACTGATTTGGCCAAGTATTCAAAATGTGGCTTCTGTCCTCTCCATAGTTACAACAACAACAACAACAACATTATGGTACTCTAGTATACCACTAGACACATTCCAAGGCCACATATAAACATCCATTATCTGTTGCTTGTTCAGTATACCTAAAGGGGTTACTAATATAACAAAAATAAATCACAGTAGCCATGAGCAATGGCAAGCACTGCTTTCAATTCTTTTACCACTGTTAAAATAGATTTATGCCCCCCCAAAAGAGATGCAAGAAAGAATTACAAATATGAATCTTTGAAGGGAAAGAATTGCTTAAGGAGAAAAAAAACACAGTTGCACTATGTATTCCTGATATCAGTCATGCTTTCAGACTGTAGCAAACTCCCTTCCCCCAGAAGTGGCTCATTTATGCCAACTATTTTAGACTACTCAAGAAGCATCCACACCAACCTCCTGGTTCCAAGAACCAGTTGGAGAGTGCCAGATACAAGGCAGTGCAACAGTGAAAAGAATGAAAATTGGACTAAAAAGACAGTTGTGAAAAATTGCCAAATTCTTAGCTAAATTAAGTTTAAATACCTCAATTTTAGTTAAGGACTGTGCTCCTTGGAAAACCCAGTATCTGAATTGCTATGCCACAAGAAATACAGCATATAAACAAATTGCAGCTTCAGTATCAACATAAATAACTGTAGTACCAGGACAGCCAAGCAATGGGGCTTGAAGAAATACTCAACTGTTTTTTATATATAAAGATGGAAAAGTAAGGCAAAGCACTTAGCCTCCTGACAGTTTTCATTCAATAGCAGTCACATCAGACATTTGAAGGGTCAGTTGTCAAATAGAAGAACTACAGAGATGGGTGCTCTGCCAACTCCCCAGTTCTAAGCAAATATATGCACTGTATGTTTCACTTTTTCAGCACGAGTTTCCCAAATGACATTCTCAAATGAAAATACATTAAAAATGCCTGCCATTCAGCAACGTGCCCCCAAATAGCGTATCTAAGCACCCTTTTCAGGGACATGTTTTTTGCAGCATGTTATCCGATTAATTTTGGGTATGTCTTTGTAGGATGGAGGAAAAAATATCAATAGTTACTGCTCATTATGGATCGAATAAACACCAGTGTCAGAGAAAGCATGGGTCTGATATCCAGTAGCTAGGGAATACTATGAAGTGGGAGGATGCTACTGTATCACATCCTGCTTGTGGGTTTGGCCACTGTGGGAACAGAATGCCGCACTAATTATGAGATAACTGATCTCATCCAGCATTGTTGAGGAGTCACCCTTAGGTGTCTTGTTATACAAATTACTATACAATCGTCTTTCCTTTCCTCACATCCAGTCCTGCCATATCCAAGCCACTATTTCTTGGTGGCCCTACCAAATTTTAATCAAAAGCCATGGTAAAAATTTTCCTACAATGTCATTACAAGGAAAAATATGTCTGTGAACAGCAGGAGAAATACTTTGCATATAGCTCTAGCATTTGCTCTGGATTTTCTATGCAATTCCTGAATTATGGAGCACTTGTACTTGGGCAAAATCCTTTTACTGCATTAATTACACCCAGTATATTACATAGCCTGACCATACAGGAGGACGTTGGTGTGTATGGCAAGACATTGTTCTGGCTTCTAGAAAACTGACAGTAGAACGGAGCAGCCCTGGGATAGAGAAGGTGGGAATTCCTGATTTATCATCCATCACTAACTGCATAAGACTATTAATAGAGATTAATCCATAAGGCTATAAATCTAGTAAAGAAATAGTGTTCATAGGAGTTTTGGTCAATTTAATCAACCTGCAAATATTTGTACATGAGAAAACCTTAGTTCTAAAGAAAAACATATAAGACATGGATGACACAAGCCCGTGTTACAGGAAAAATAATCTTAGAAGATTCCACCCTGTTCTCTTATACAGGAGGGGAAACGGTGGTGCGTGTCATCTGCCATTTCAGTAAGTTGGCCTTCCCCAAGTGGGTGCTCTTTAAATTTTTCCATTACAACTCCCATCATACCAAAGGACATGCTGGTTTGGAAAGATGGAAGTGGTAGTCCAACACTTTTGAAGGGCACCAGCTGGGGAAAGCTTTGGTGTAAGTTCTCCAAGTCTATGTAGTCTAGTATTTTTTTTAAATGGAATTATTTTATTTGACCAAAATGTTCTGAAGCAGTTAGCTGACTAAACATTGGAGTCTTACTCTTCTAAACTGATTGGGACAGACCAGTGTTATCAGAAGAACACTTGCAGTATCAACCGTCAAGCGCTGCTTTTTAAAAAAGCAGGAATATGGAGGGGAAAAATCTGCCAGTCATTTAACTTTGGAGGCCTCTTCCAGAGGAAGACAGACTATAAGGCTATCAGACTGACGACTGCATTTATGAAAATGCAGGACTGAGAAAGCAATGGCAAGTTCTTTTCAGAAAAATGGGGTTTTCTACTCAGTTGGCCATCAGGTAGAAATCCTTCAAGTAAAGTCCATACAGCATAAACACTGGCAGCAAAATTTTTACACAGCTGCCAAAGATTAAACCTTATTCCTTAATGTAATTCTAGAAAATTGCACTGCACTGCACTGCTGGGCAGGAAGTGGGGCATGGAAGACCTAAGCAAACCTTAACTTTCCATAAGAAGGTTTGCAATCAGTTCCATTAGCCTACACTGCTAAAACAGTGCAGCAGCCCCACTGATCTCATTTGGGCTCCACTCCTGTGAGAACATCTACGTCTACAAAGCAAATTTCAAGACATTAAAGATGTGTTGATTTGCTATGAATTTAATAAAGTGCAAACGTCAAGTTACAAAGTAGACAAACCAACTGATGGAAAGCTTAGGCTGCAACCTTATGCAAAATTATGTGGAAATCAGTCATACTGAACTCAGTGGGAAATGTGTAGGGTCAGTCTATTAAGGCAAATTTCTTTTAGCCCATGTCGATTTCCTACAGGCAGGCCACCTTTGCATTGGCCCATTCACAAATGGGGCAAGCAAGCGTCCTCATGATTCCTGCCATAATTCTTTCCTCTGTGTAACATAAACCGTAGTATTTTAGCCTTTTCAAGACAACACAAAGAATTCAAAGTGAGGGCCAGCCGGAAAAATCTAATCTGCGTATCAAGGGTTATTACATTTTGACTGCAGACATAAAGCTCCAATGTGTGAAATAATGGCTCAGTTCGCACATCAGAGCAGGAAACTGTAGGCTATTTAACCCACAGTTTGCAAGGACGCATGCTGCTTATGAAACTGCTCATGTTAGAACTGTACACAACCCATTACTTCTGGCTTTGTGTGTTACAGTGGCAGCTTCCAATCAGGCCAATCAAAGATGGCTTATAGAAAGAATTGACCTGCACAAATTAAAGATTTGCTAATCCTTAATTTGCCATGTGAGATGCAGATACAGGTCTCTAATCCCACTACACATTAAAACTGAACAACTTTAAAATTAAAAAACCTGTAATTTAATCACCAGGATTATGTGCCATGCAGCAGGAAGAATCAGGAACTAAGGGAAATGAAGCTTCTTGCCTTATTTTTTAGTAGCTGCACTGATACGCCTCAATCCTTGGGCCTCGGAGATGTTTTCTTTTAAAAGAAATCAATGTGCTTTTAGGATAGAATACATTAACAAAGTTAAAGTTAGTATAATCTGTAGTTTGTTAAACCAACTGGTTTCAGAAAAGAAACTGCTGAAAAAAGCTATTATTACTAAACAAATGTTCAGGTAACCTATGCAGTTCTTCCAAATGTCCGTAAAACTTAATAATCTGCTAGAATGCATATTAGGCTGCTGCTAACATGCGTCTATATTAACAAAGTAGCCTTAAAAAGTCAACATTATGTAAAGCTACTCTGTGATCCAACAGAGACAAGCGCCTCATGTGATCATGTATTTGCAAACTTTTCTTTGACATGTGGTGTGGAGGGTATGCATTATGCATGTTTGTAAACGCCCAATTTTGCTGGTGATCCCTGCCTGGTTTTAACTGCATTTGAAAAGAGAAAAAGGTGGGTGTGCACACGCACGTGCGCACACACATTCAACATACATCCAGCAATCAAAAGGATGATCATTTACAGTAAGTGTCTTATTAGTGACACTGGCTGCCTCATTCCAACAGCAGCCCAAAGTTTAAAGATGGGTCCAGACAACTGGGAGCTATTTCAACATCTGCCCCATCTCTGCATAAGGTTTCACTGGACCACACAATATTGGATTTCACAAAGCGGTTAACATTCGAATTTTAGGTTTTATCAATATGCAACCAACTCTGCTTTCTCGGATTCTAACAAGTGACATCCAGGGTACACAAAATGCTCGGTTCCTGCAATGTGTAGTTGCTAATTAAATGCTATCCAACAGCATTTGTGACCCAGCATGGCAGCCTGAGAACAAGGCTGTTAGGTACAGCCCAAAAGGTTACAGTCAAGAATCTCCTCCAGACTGAAAGCTGTCAATAAATATTCTGGATTTACTGTATTTTAGTTTTATCATTTTTGGTTAGTATTATTAACAACAGGAAAGCACATATTTTAAAAGTCTTTGCTCTTAAGTAGATATTGATACTTTAAAATGTAAAGCCACAGAATTCATAACCTTGACTGTTTAATCACCACTGATAACCTAATGGGGAACTGGTTTGACCTTCACATTTCCTTCTTGCCTCTCCCTCCCCAAGTAATAACAGCACATCAGTGAGTGAGCAACACTTGGAAGACTGTGTGCTCCGAATGAAATTAGGCAGACTTTACAAAGAATTTCTTCTATATCTTACACCGTGTAACTTGGGTTTTCTCCCAAGCAGATGCAATATAAAAACTGCCACTTGTCATCAGGCAGACTGTCCTCAATGCATCTGGGTTGCCGATGACTGGCAGCCCGTGACCTGGCCCTGTGGGCTCTGCCAAACACCCTCAATCCCAAGGACCCACTTTCCAATTGTACACCTTGGCCAATTCCTTCAGCATGAAGCAGAGGAGGCTGCAAAGGGCTTTTTACCACCTCCCCAGCAACAGAGCCAATAGGCTGGCCTTTGATTTGTTAAAAAGACTGCACTAAATTGTTAGTAGCCAAGCAAGATCCCTAGGAAAATGAAGCAAAGGGATGCTGTAACAAGGGCGCCTTTCATGGCCTTGACTGAGCCAATTTGCTGGGCTTTCAAGAAAATATTTATTGGCTTTTTCATAGCACTCATCATGATTTTCTCAGAGCACCTTACAAATGTCAACAAATTTATCCTCACAACAACCCTGTGAGGTAGGAGTCTATTATCCCCATTTTACAAACTGGGGAACTGAGGCACAGAGAGATTAAGAGACTTGCCCAAAGAAACAAGGGGCACCTGCAGCAGAGCAAGAGACAGAAATGTGATCACGCAAATTCCAGGTGAGCACTTGATTACTGGAATAGCCTTCCTTCTCTTGGGTTTGTAGAACAGACTACGTATCAGTAGCCTTTGCATGCTGAATGCAACACAAGGAAAAACTTGCTCCATTTTGTGTCTTTAACGTCATGAAAGGAATTCAGCTACTAGAGGTCCTTCCTATTAATGAAATCCATGCAGAGGGGAAAATAACAGTGATTTCTTTAGTCCAAAACAATTTTTAAAAGAGCTACAGCAGCAGCTGTTACCAACACCTGAAGTTCTACCCTCTCCTCCTCTTCTTCTTTCCAAGTAAGATTGCAATCTTATGCACACTTACCTGGAAGTAAGCCCCATTCAACATAGTGGCAGATACTTCTGAGTAATCATACATAGAATTGCACTATAAAATAGTTTTGTCCATGGAAAATATGTTCCACTACTGTCAGCACTGTAGAGCAAAGCTGTATCCTTTCTGCCTCATTGACAGAATAGCCAGTGAGGTTCCAGAAACAACTGCTGGTGATTATGTGTGAGGCAGGATGGAAATCCAACTGTGTTCTGACTCTGGACTGAACTTGCAGTGCACTTTGGTAGCAACCTGAGCAAAACCAAGAGGCTTACAGTGCACCTCAAGAGCATTTCCCTCTGTTAATCACAGCTTAATCACTTTTACGCTACCGCTTCAAACACTGCATTGCTTTCCCCAGAAACACTGCAAACAGATACTATTCCTGAGAGGTCAACGGTTACAAGGCAAATTTTGCTCCTGTATTATTCACATTTTAGAGTAGGCAAACAAAATGAATTGGGCATAAACCTGCAAGTTCTGTGCTCTGCCACCTGCAAAACTAGAGCACACTCACAAAGAAGATAAAAAGATTTCACCATATCATCCCATTTAAATGATCGAAAAGGAACTAATGACCTTTGCCAATTGAAAAAGAAACTTAGGGGCATTTAAGATTTCTGTTCTAAAGGCTGCAATCATAGGGCAAGTTTATTAAGCGGAGTTGAAGTGTCCTCTGTCTCCTGGTTGGCCAACGTCTAATTGCACTTGGCACATGTTCAGCCTGTCTCTCAGCACTGGTTCGTGGGTTACAAGCACTGCTTGGTTGCCACATGCCTGAGGCTGGGACCCATGCCGCTCATTACATTTGAGCCACAAAATGCATGTGGGACATGGCTGTATCTGTGAAGCCCGATGCAAGCCTTTCACACAATCAGTTGTTTTTCAGAAAGTTATGAGAGGTAGCAGGCACAACCACTCTTGGGGGATTGTCCGAAGTAATCAGAAGTAATGGTCAACAAACCAGTAAGTGAAAGAAGTGGGGCTGTTACCCAATTTTAGCCGCCAATCTTAGCTGAACAGCAGGAAACCTGTGGCCCTCCAGATCTTGTCGGCCTCTAGCTTTCATCAGGTCTAGCCATCATAGCACATGGTTATGGGATGATGGGAATTGTAATCCACACTATCTGAGAGGGACGCACATTTCCCACCTGCATTCCCCTAAGGGATGCAATCCTAAAACACTTTGGGGAGTAAGCTCCATGGAATACAATGGGAATCCCTCGAACGAAATGTATTTAGGATTGTGAAACCCTAAATCAACCTAGTTTGGGCAGTAGAAAATACTTTGTACATTATGCACATATATCATAGGAAGCACCACTTAAGAAACATTCCTTATTGTGACTAACAGACAAGGGAATACCTCTCCCACTGCCTATCGTCTGCAGTTTTTGCTAAGTACTAAACATGCTTGATTTTAAAAGAAAAATCTGCTACCTGATTTTCAGGGGCAGATTTAAAAAAAAGCAGGTAGAAGTTTTTTCATTTATTCATCTAGCCAATTAAATAGAATAAATATTAAGAGGTATACCCCAGTCCCCAGCTTTGACCTGAACCCACCTGTGGAAGCCCTTGACAACTGCAGCCAATAAAAAAAGTAAAAACGTTTTTTCTTTTGATCAGAACTGGGCAACAGCTGTTGCCATGGTAACCCCTTAGACCCATATTACATGCAGTGCCTTTTGCATTATGCATCTTATTGTTTTTATAGGAACGGATGACTTTTTATTTGGCAATATTGGATAAATGGGGGCGGTTGCCTCTTCTGAGGGAGATGAAGCCTGCCATTGCCAGAGGAAATTTTGTGCAAGAGAGCCTGAATATTTTGAGGGCCCACAAGGGACCTACTTATCCCAGTACCTTCCTTGTGAACCATCCTTCTGAAAATTATAGGCAGCCTAGCGGTGATCCTAAGAATGAAATGTGTTAATTTCAGGAAGATACATACATTAATACATCTGGAATGCAAGTTCTCCAATTTTGAAGGGGGAGAAATTTGCTCTCCTTCTCCCCCAATCCCAAGTGGTCATTTGGTCAATTTGTATAACAAATTGGGATGTCCCCAGGCAAGAAACCGGAAATTTTTCAGAAGGACAGGCTCAAAAGATAGGGAGATATGATGCATGTAAACAAGTATAAGCATTGTTCATGGTGGGGCATAGTAGCATTGGAAAAATGGCCATCTCACATTCCCATCTTTGCCCTCCCTTATAGCACACTGATTGGCGCCCCATTGTACAACATGCCTTAGGATTAGAAGGTGGACCTGTCATTTTACCTCACTCGCTCCTCCACTTGCAGCATTTAGAGAAATGAGAAGATGCTATTTAGAGACCTCAAAGTCTGAGTGCATATTATATCTGAAGCACAAGTTGGCAAACTATGCCTTGTTCTGGAGCAGCCGCAGTTCTGTTAGCTTCGGAGGAAAGCATGCTTCACCTCAGAGCCCAACAGAACTAGTCCTCATCTAAATCCAAAGCACAGCCCTAGCGAGAAGCACCTCTGCAGTCCAGATGAGCAAGTAGCACTGCTGCTGAGGCACTGACCCACTGCCTGAATTCAACTCGTTCTCCCCACCCCACACAAACTTGCAGTAATTATGAGATAGCCTGGTTACTCTGAAATACCTATTAAAGGTGCTCTTTTTCTGTAACAGCCTTTTCAATACGAGACAGACTGCAATCCATGGGGCAAAGTTCACCAATGCCAAAGTAATCAGCATGTAAATAGGTCACCAATATGCCGGGAATGAGCAAAAGATCAGATGGGTGGGATTAAGGGAGATCAGCAGCAATTCATTCAGACATTCTGAAGACAGATCAAGGCTGACATTTGATGGCTCTTCTGGCTGACATAGTAATGTGTGAAATTCAGGAAACATGGAGAAAACTGATGACCTAGAAACAGCTGGGTGGTTTTTCCCCAGGGAAGACTGTGGCGAAGAGTAATTGTCTACCAACTACATGGCCACCCACCACCCTGTATCTTCTGAAGTTACACATCATAAAATCAGCTCTGCACATTTCAACAGCTCACTACTTAATTCTTAGGGTGCCCCAAACCTGCCAGGAATTTCTCAAAAGCATCAGACTCTTGCCAAACCCATCCTAATCAAGCATATTCAGGTTATTTCAATTAATCCTTTTGGCACAATAGTAGATTTCCAAAGAATTCAGAAGACTTTAAAACAGCAGCAAAATTGAAGGACTATGGAGGAACAGTATACAGGACCATCAAGGATGGCACTCCTGAATTATATCTGAACAAAAGTAGTTTCCCTTTAACACTGATGGGTTCAAACAGAGAAACTGAAAAGATCCCCCCAAAAAATAATGGGCACTCCTTGGGATGAAATGGAAAATGAAATGGATGTATGATGAAACATGGCTCTTTCAAAGTTGTCTACCTACTATAAAGGAACAGGATAGAAACTTGTTAAAGGGAAAGGCAAAAGAAGTTGCAGCAATGCTCTTCCAGGAGACTGTGTCCACATGTGAAGATATGCCAACCAGTTAGAAGAAGTTGAGGAACAAGGATTAAAACCCAAGGGAGTGCATTCTGCACATCAAGAAAAGCTACATCAGAACTAGTTAATTAACTGGCATCAAGTTAACAGCAGTTAAGAGAGGGGAGAATAATGGCAGTGCCAGGTCCCTTCAAGCATAGATCCAACCCTCCCCTTCATGGCCCTTCTGCATTTTGTAATAAATATCCAATTGTTGATGGAAGTATGTTCTCGCATGTGCATGATTTGATAAGTTGTCTCTAAAGTGCGAGAAGCCAAGGTATATTCCTTAGCTCTATAAATTTACCAGGGGCTTCAATTCAGTCACAGACCAGGGAGACTTGAGATTTTTTTAAAGGGTGTGCAGAGGGAAAACAGATGGGTAGGGGAAGCAAAGTATGGCTAACAGGTTTCAGGGAAAGGGGAGGAAATTGTCCTCTTATCCTTTGGCACTTCAAAAGCTGAAGTGAGGATACTAGTGGAAACAGCGGCTTCTTCTTCCATCCTTCAAGTTATTGATCCTGTTGGCCAAGCTGGGTATGCACAGGTGATCAGGAGTTGCTGTCTCTCCATGGTTACCCTCAAGAAGATCAGATGTCCATCTCAAACTGAGCATCATCACCTGATTGAAGGAAAAGAACACACACAAATCAGCACAGGCTGTGGGGGATGTGGGATACTATTATTTTTAAGCATTCAAAGGGGCACAGTCCCTTCACCCCCATTAACAGACTGAGTTGATAGAACCAGCCAGCCTTTCTTCACCTTGTACTTTCCAGATGTTGTTCTGTAATGAAAGGCTCTTCAGTCCAGCACATGTGATCATACATTGTTCAACTTAACCAGAATTCTACAAGACTTTTCTACTGGGGGTGGGGGGCACACAAGGTCTCTGGCCAGTTCAGGTAGGACAATCATCACACTAGTGAGAGGTGGTGTGTTGTGGGGGTTAGAGTGGTGCAATGAGGAGCTGGGAGTCCCCACTGGGTGACCTTAGGCTAGTCACTCAAAGCAAGGGTTCTTGCTTTGAGGATACAATGGCAGTATGTAAGCTGCCTTGGGCTCCTCCCAAATGGAAAAAAAGGAGGGATATAGATCCAGTGTGAAAATGATCACCTAGCCTATGCCTATATTACAGTCTTATTACAGTGATACACAGATGAGATATACCTGTGCATACACCACAATGATTACTTTCATTATCAGAGGCTTTTTTTTCCAGGTGAACCCACCCTTTGATGTTATTAGTAAGGAAATCAGGACAATGGACCTCTCAGCTACAGTGCCCCATTCATTCATAAAATGTGTATGCTGTCCATTACTTGCATCTCTGGACGGCTTACAACATAAATCAGAATAAAATAAAAAAAAATGACTATTCCACGCTGGGAATAGGGTTTCCCCAGAAAGACTTGTCTGGCACCTACTTTCATGCCCTTTAAATGCTAAAGAAAGGCCTTTTCATGTACGACGGCCTTTTTAGTATCAGCGCATTCTGCTGTCCCATTTTAAAGTTGGTTCATGCCTTTGACTCATATTAAGTTATTGCTCCTTGTTAGCCACCCTGAAAGCCATATTAAGCAGGAAAGTGCAAGTGAGGAGGCAGGAGATAACTTTTAAACACACAACTGCTCTATATGTACTTCTCTGGAACAAACTTGACCATCACCTGTATGGACAGAATCCAGTATTAGGCTAGCAGTAAAAGTAGAAGAAGTGGCACTTCCAGAAGCACTGGGAATACAAGCAACACCTCGTCTGTTGAAGCTGTAATGAACTGTGCAATGGCAAAGTGCAATGTCATGTAGAAACAGAATCAAAATATTGGATGTTACACTTGCGCTAAGATGAAAACAGGTTTCCCTAAATCTTAGAAACTTTGTGTTAGGAGAATAACCACAATGGATACAACACTCTATTACTTTTCTGTGCCATTTCTAAATACAAATGTTAACAACTTGATTATATTTGGCAGCAGCTCAATCAAGCAAGAAAGTGAACATAAAATACTGAAGATCTCCACTGTGGGTTTGTGTTCTGGTTCTGTTTAGCCTAGAGATGCATTTCCAGCCAACAATCCTAATGGATGCCTTCATACCCAGCTATCCTAATGGACATTCATGCTCTGTTAAGTTTCTACAAGCAAATATCTATACAGTGCATGTACATGAATAATATAGAGTGCATGCATGCACTGTGCATGTATGGAAGTGTGATCTGGGGGCTACAATAATATATTGTTTGGACATAAAAGAATTGCATTACACTCCCTCCAAGAAGTCTGAAAAGGTATTTCAGCAATTCCCCCTAGATCAGGCAATTATGATGCAACAAGGAGCCATTTCTTGTTGTCTGCCCACTAATGCTTTTACAATGCCTTTAATAGCCCAAGGGTGGTAGTTCAACCTAACAACCAACACAAGATCAGTGTGACAGTTCATTGATCTCCATGTGCAGAGGCTCCATAAAGACCTAAGTAAATAAATTAATTCTACAGCTTTAAAAGCAAAGTATCATATGCTGTGTCAAGGAAACAAATCGCATGATTCTGGTGCAAAGTTTTATTATACCTTAAGAATCTATTTTTCTTTTCCAGCAATTAAAAAGACATGCCCCCACTGATACTTCCAAGTGCCAGATCAGATCACTGTAAGCTACATTATAAAGCGCATGTGAAGGGTACCTTCAGGCCAAAGGTACCAGTTGAGAAACCCTTTCCTTGAACCCCTGACAATTTGGTGGTTTCCTGGCTTTTGTGCAAAATTGTCCTCATTCTAAAAGGTTTACAAGCTTTTCACTAGGCTTAATTAATGGCAGCATGAACTTTACAATATGCTGAGGTGGGGTGTATGTGTTTATTTCTGTTCTTTAAGCACTACCCCTTTAGTCTTTTATCCCACCCATCTCAGTAATATGCCCTTGAGCATTTCTTTAAAACTGAACTCAGCTCTCAAGTGGATAGCTGTCTCCACCCAGTATGAATTGCCCTGCTATACAAAATCAGACTTACGTGGCAATCTCCATTCCTACAGACACCCTTCTCACTGCCCGCTGCCTATCATTGCTATACCCTTCTGTCTTTTCAGCCACATTCCACTTCTCTCCCAGTTTCATCTTTGGGCTCTTATCAAGTCCAGAGAAAAAAAGGGGATAACTGTGTGGTTGCAGTGTAGGAGAACCACCTCCCAGCCCTCCCAACTGCCTTCTCCAGCTCGAACAAATCAGAAGCAGGAGCTCTCTATAGCCAGGCAGCACATAAATGGCCATCTTTCCCATAGAGAGCCCAAGACACAGCTCTTCTTGCCATGTATCTTTTTTAAAAAACTACTTAACTCACACCATGCAAACAGGAAAGGAGCACTTTTAATATTAAATATATTGTAAATTATGATGGAGACATGACACTAGAAACATGCCACACTTCCACCCATGCTCTTACCAATTATAGGCTTTCCGTCATGATTGTTCAGATTGTTTACTTCCACTTTGGAATCCTCAGTCATGGAACCAGGGCTGGTAACTCCTGGGATATTTGGAAGATGACAAGGAGGGGTTTGAGCCATAGGAGAATTGCGGCGGTCTAACAGAAACTTGCGGTCGTAGATGATTCGAGTACCTATGCAAGGGTAGAGGAAGAGGATCAGTGATGGATATGGTTACGAACAAGGCACAAGCTTTTTGTATAAACTAATAAATTTGCTAATTAAGGGTGCAATTCAAAACTCACTAGAGAGTAAATCCTATTTATGTATTGAGCTTTCACACAACAAGTTTTTCTGGCGCTGTACAATATATAGAAACTTAAAATACAAACAATAAATAAAAACAGTACATAACAAAATCAAGGTCAGCAAAGATTAAAAATAAAAGATAAAAATACAGTTCTATCTAATACAGTTCTTAAAATGCTTGGGATAATAAAAAGGTCTTCAACCACCATCAGAAATACTTTAACTTAGACAAAAGAACCTCTCTGAGGAAAGCATTCCAAACCACAAGGCCTTCTCTCTGAAAAGGCCCACCTCACCTCATCCAAACAAAGGCATCTGAAGGAAGACCCAGTGACCTTAGGATGCAAACAGGTAGATAGGGAAAGAGATACTGTATCAGGTAACCTGGTCTCAACCTGTTTAAAGTACTCATGGTTAAAAATCTCTTCCAATTGGGTTTGGAAATAGATTGTCAGTCAGTGAGGATAACAAAGGCATAATGTGATCACATGGGCCAGTCAGAAACTAGCTGCTCTGCTTTGGACAAACTGAACTGAATGCACTAGGGCTTATTTCTGAATAAACACTACGATTACACGGAATTCAGATTACAATGTAAGAAGAGTCAAAAGATTAAAACTTTTCATAATGTGCAGTTCTTGATTTCTCTTCCTTTAAAAAATGTCATGCACTGACCACAAGGCACAGATGCCAATTTCTTTGGTGAAGTGAAAGCCAACTTTCCCGTATAGTTATTCCAAAAATGTGCAGCAGGTGCCCTTTCCTGAAGGCCATTTAAAGAGCAAATGTGAGTTCTGCATTGGTTCAACAAAAACAACAAAAAAGGCTGCTACTCCAATGTTAGAGGACAGCCACTCTATACCAGGTGCTCAGATCTTTCCCACACCATAGGTGGGGGAAGGCCATGGCTTTCGTATCCTGCATGTGAGCTTCTTGGTAATACCTGCGAAGAGCACTGTGGGAAACAGGATGCTGAACTAGATGGACGCATATTCTAGTTTGGTGAGACATGTGCTCTAGCATTACACTTACAGAAAAGAGAAAATGAGAGGTGTGTTTTTCTTTCTATCCCATAGAAATCAAACTCTGGTGAAAATATACAGCAGAGCACATTACAGGAAAATTATCAGCACCAGTAGTGTTGGCCTGGCATATTATTAAAATGGCCACCCAGTTCTTTTGTATTATCACCAGCAATTTATTTATTTAAAACATTTCTGTGCTGCCCCATTCGCAAAGAGCCTTGGGGCGGCTTACAAAACAAATAACAATACACACAATTAACCTTAAAAATCTGGAGACACCTCGGCACAATATAAAAACCCAATAAATAATCAACAATTAAAATAACTTTTAAATAAAAAGGTCTTGGCCTGGTGCCAAAAAACAAATAACGATGGCGCCAGGCGGACCTCTCTGGGGAGCGCATTCCATAGGTGGGCCGCCACCAGAGAAGGCCCTCTTCTGGGTACTCACCCTCCTAGTATCTTTCATGGAGGGTTCCCAGAGAAGGGCCTCCTCCGCCGATCTCAGGGGGTGGGAGGGCATATATGGACACAAGCGCTCCTTTAGATAACCAGGACCCAAGCTGTTGAGGGCTTTATAGGTGATAACCAACACCTTGAATTGGGCCTGAACTTCAATGGGAAGCCAGTGAAGCTGACGGAGGACTGCGGTTATATGAGAAAGCAATATGGGCTTTCCAAAAAAAATTGAATTACACTGAAGAATCTCCAGTTTGCTTTGTAAAATTTTCCAAGTCCTAGATAAAGACCTTATTTAGCAAGATCTAATTTACATTTATTTTACCTGTATCAGACACACACACACACACACACACACGTGTGTGTGTGTGTTCATTTTTTTTGTCCCAGTGTATCACAACTATTTGACCTGAAATATCAGAGGGGATAAATGATAGCTTACGGAATACGATTTGGAATTGAATACCTGTGAAAATGTAAAAACAATAGCATATAATTTCCCTATATAGTTTAGATTTAAAGGACATTATATACATTGTTAACTATCTTTCAACCACTTCAACAGAGTTCAGCTCTTCCGCTTCTACTGCATTTAGAGATAGAGTGGCCAAAAGGGAAAAATGCTTCAGCATTTCTTACACTGTTGGAAAAATCAAATTGGTTCTTCACAGAATGCAACCACCTGCAATAGCTGTCTATATGTTTTGTGAAATGTAGATGTTCAAAAGTCAGAGATGAATGGAATAAGGAGTTGAAATGCTCTATAATCAGTGGATCAGGCTAATCAGTGAAGTTTTCCTAGCTTCCATACATACTGTAGATGAAAATTAAGGCTGTTTCAACAAATATTTTTGTATCCTGGACACATAGGGACTTGCTATGAAGCAGCTTCTGCTAGAAGCTCCCAGTATAATGCAGACAATGCCTCACTGAGGCATATGATATGAACATATCCTGTAATGGCTTTTTTGGGTTGCAAGTCATTGCTCATATAACTGTTGTTCTTGAAAAACTGTGAATGTCCATAACTTTTAAATTATATTCCTGTGTAGATAAATAAGATGGTCAACAAAAGTCACTATTTAGAGCCCTTGCAGTTGCAAAGAGACTGAATACCTCAAGTTTGGAATAAACACTGGCCATCTGACATGGTCTGAATCTCTTTCAGTTCTCACTACAATTTAACATATTATCATTAAAAATCATATGAATGTTCATTTAGATATATTGACTGTTTATGTTTATATGAATATTTTAAGATGAAGTGTTAAATCCATTCCCCACCCCATTTTTTAAAAAAATTAATGACGTTGTAAACAATTATTCTTCAAAGATCTTTTATGTCACCCCCTCATTTACTTATGTAGCTTCCCCCTTCCTTTTTTTGGGGGGGGGGGTACTGCTACGTTTGCAAAAAAATAGAGAAAACAAGCTCCTTTCCACTGAGGTTTGCAGAGCACTTTCAGTTTCATTATTATTGCTTATTAGTTCCATTTCACTCTGATATGTATCTGGTATCTATATAAAAAGGTAAAGGTAAAGGTTTCCCCTTGACATTAAGTACAGTCATGCCTGTCTCTAGGGGGCGGTGCTCATCTCCATTTCAGTCTCCGTGGTCATGTGGCCGGCATGACTAAACACCGAAGTTCACGGAATGCTTTACCTGCCCACCGAAGTGGTACCTTTTTATCTACTTGTATTTGCATGTTTTCAAACTGCAAGGTTGGCAGGAGCTGGGACGGAGCAACGGGAACTCACCCTGTTGTCTATATCTAACATACTTCCTTCAGATAATTACCTGAAAGACATTCACTACAACACTGAAACTGCTAAGCCTGGCAATTGGCATAAATTCATTTGTATTAATAAAGTTATGAAATGGATTTTTTTCCGTGGAAAATTTTTTCTGTCCCACATCACCAGAGTTTTCTTGTCAGCAAGTTATGATCATGACAGGAAAACTGGGTGTTGTGCTCAGAAACACTGGGAGGAAGCAGCTAAGAGTTTCCAGCGAATACCCAGTAGTGTGTGGAAGGAAAGGCTAGTCCGGTTAAAAGAAAGGTACAATGCAAACACTTGTATTAATGCCACAGTATGGTAGAGAGTGGTCCTTGACCAGCTGGTCACCATCACACAGTGCCAATGCAAGTCAGCAAGGAGCAACTCCCCCTTCTGTTACAAGCTCAGCTTTTTATAGGTTACATCTAGTCTCTTCTTGGAACACAAACAAAACAGCAAAGGAGGAACTTGGTATAACAACCAGCTATCATGTGGTGACTTTTACTGTATCTTAGGTCTGGGGATTTCAAAATACTAACTGAAACAGCAAAAGATTTATTTTCCCAGAAACTTCTTTTTGACTTCATTGAGAGATCCTCATACTTTGCATAAACTGCATACCTTTGACTAGCCTTTCTGCACTTACTACAGCCTGCAGGCACTCATTCTCTCCCTCTCCCCTTACTACTGGTTTCCCATGCCCCCATAGCTCCTCATTTTCATGTCCTAGTTTTTATTCAAAAGTTAAATTTGAGCAATTGGAGAACCCCCACTACCCTGTAAGGGGGGAAAAACACCAGGATTAAAGAACTAGAACAAAAGTTTGTGCTATTTTTACAATGTATTCTGGTTGCTGGACTTGAGCTCAGACATCTTGTTTCTGAATTAAACAAGAATAATATAGCAGAGTGCTGGATTAGGATTCAGGAGATCCAGATTCTGTGTCTGTGTATTTGAACAGAACATCAGACTTCAGGGTAAACCATTATCAACAACAAGCAAAGAATGGTTCTGATCCCTTAACCTACCTCTCATTTTCTACCCCCCCCCCCCAATGTTTAGTGCTTGCATAGCAGTTTGTGTGCCTGAATGGTCTTAAAACTCTCAGCCTTTGATCTTGACAAGGGAGCATCCAGCAATACATCCAGCAATACAACCATCTGAAATTAAGGAGTCTTTGCGTATTGTGTGTTTCATAATTTTAATCCAAAGAGAATAATGGGCCTGCAGAATACTTGTTCCCATGAACTTGAAGGCAAGGTGTCAAGGTCTGTAACATAATGGCGAGGAACCACTGAGCAAAGACCCTCTGTGCCACAGACTATCTCAGAGCAGTGGCTGCAGGCAGGAGTCCACTGACTAAAATGACTCTCATTGCCTCTCCAAAGAACAAAAGTGGAAGCTCTCTTTGAAAATATTTTTCCCTTACACTTCCCAAAAGACAGCAGGCAACTGTCTTGAGTGATGGAAGCTTTTTATTTTGGTTTTGAGTAAGATTTCTGCCAGCAAGCCTTCTAAAAGGCCTGCTGTGATGTTGCTTTTCAAGGTAAGATTCAGCAGAAGTGTTAATACTTGAATGTTCATGTCTTTTTGCTCTTGGCACCAGTGTTACTTTCTGTTGTTGACCTGGGCTAAGTTCCAGTGTTCATGGCAGGTAGCAAGGCACACTCAGTGCTTTCAAAGAAAACAAAACAAAACCAAACCAAACCAAAATGAGCATGGAATCATGTGCCTCCTAACAAAACAGAAGGAAGTCTGTATAAGCTGGGGGATCAATCCAGACACTTCCAAATTTCTGTGTTGCTGTTCCTCAGCTGCTGGCGCTTCTAAGCAGGAATCTGAGACTTTGTTCTTCCAAATTCCTTCTCCTTTACATACCATATTTTTCGCTCTATAAGATGCACCTGACCATAAGACGCACCTAGTTTTTAGAGGAGGGATCCATGGAAAGCTTCCTGATAATCACAGGCACATTCCCCATCACTTCCCCATGGGCTTCATTAAAAGACGGGTTGCCATTTGAAAACACACACCGACCTGTGATTAACAGCTCTCACCTGCGCTGGAGGAGGGGGGCAGAGCAGGGCGCGCCGAGGTGGCAGAGAGATCGCGTGTCCCTAAGAAATGATATACTGGAAGGCTCTAAAAATGTTGATTTCTCCTCTGAGGAAGAACACACAACCTCTTAGGAGTGCTTGCAGAGGGCTTTTTAAAGGAATATTTGTGCAAGTCAGTCTCCCTTAGGCACAGGGGAAAGCATGTAACTATATAGGGTAATGCACAATGCATACTGATTTGGGGGGAAATGTATTTTGGCCTGCTTCTGGTAATCTCTGAGAATTTTAATAATCTTTGAATGAACAGCAAAATAAAACAAAGAACCAGCTTAGATGTGAATTATAAATATGCACGAATAAAACTTTATAATAAATGCATTCACAGGAGGAAATTTTGCTTAAGTGTAGAATATTAATGCCTTACTGGGAGAAACTGCATGAATGTGCCACCAATGTAAATTAACTCCTCTCTCTTTTCTCTTTAAAAATTTCTTGTTCTGAAATTATGTCTCCTGCTTTGAAAACACTGGATTGCTAAACCTACCATTTCCTTTTGTCCCGGTATCTTTAAAGTGTTTTGGGCTGCCAATGTAGCAATAAATGTTCTTTTAACTTCATATTGTCCATTTTTCTTGATAACACAGACCAGTGGAGCTTATTCCCAGGTGTACACAGGATTTCTACCTAAAGGCACTCTTATTTTGAAGAAAATCCTACTGGACGCTGTGGGACTTCTCAATAAACAATGTAACTTTGTTTAGATGGACTGCCTGTGCGCATTTGGAGCAGCAGCGCTTCCAGTGCAACAAGAGTAGGTAATTTCTGCCAATGGATTTCTGCCATTTTCCTTTAGCTACCATGTGGAAGAAAAAGGACTACAAAGCTTGTTAATGCTAGGGCCACAAAGTTAAGTCTTGCCACACTGATTCTTCAGGAAGAATGGTAAGATAACTCAAACACGATTGTATTTCTATTAAAACAGTCCAAGCTTCACAAAACATAGACTTAAATTGTATTTTATGTGGCACATGTCTAGGGCCTTTGGTATTGTGGTAGCTACTCAATGGAAGTTGCTAAGACTACAAATAAGACAGGTGACAACCCTTCTTGGTTTTTCACTGCTTAATGAAAACAAACTTTTCCCAACAAGCATTTGAAGGAAGGTCTGATATACACATTCAGAATATACAGTATTAAAATTATCTTATATTGCATTTTATACTTAAAATCATTTTAATGAGATTCATAAATATTAAACATTTTTATCTATGTATATTCATGCACACACTTATAAACCTACAGGCATGTGGGAACTCAGCAGAATAAAAAGGTAGCAAAACTGTGCATGCACAAATCAGGCTAGTACATGCACAAGACAAGGATGACCAGAGTCAAGCCTGAAGGATAAACTGTACAGAAAAACCATGGTGTGAAGTTGGCACATAATCATCATTCACTGGGGGTGGGGGGGATCTTGTGACACCTTAAGAGAATTTCACATTTATTGTAGCATTCACTTTCATCGCTGAGAGCCTGCACAACAGATGCAAGGTCTCTAAGTTGCAAGAGCCAAATGCTATGGCTCATGTTTATTTTTAAGATTTCATTTTTCTTGCAATGAGCCATATTCTAGAGGCAATGCCTCTCTAGAACTAATCACTATTTTTAATCTATTTCAAGTATATATGATGGAAAAGGGTGCCCAAAGTTGTTTTGGGCTACGAACCACCTCCTAGGAAATGCACACCTGCCCTGCTATGTGACTGCAAACACACACACCCCTTCAGTTGCCTCAAAACAGCTTTTTCCATTTCCAGAGCTAAGGAAGGAACTTGGAACCAATCTAGACTTCTTGGATTACAATCCCCATCACTTCAGCCAACATAGCCAATAGTCAACGATTATGGGAGCTTAAGTTTTAAACATATGGAGGAACACCAGGCTGCCTACGCTGCTGTAGTGTTTATAAGTGGTTTAGGACGAATTTATTTAATTATAGGGCCATGTCCGAGGTGGCAGAGAGATCGCGTGTCCTAACTACATACGAGACTGTGGTGACTCTTGGCCTGGCTCTTGGGAGTAATAAACTGCATTTCCAAGAACAGGCCTCAAGGGCAGGGCTGGACTACTGAACAACGCAGCTGCACAATCCTTTATGCATGCTGGATCCGCAAAAGGGAATCCCTCCGACGCCCCCCAATGGGAGGATAGCCGATTTCTCGGTGGAGTTCATGTACGTTTTCCTCGCTCGCTCGCTGCTGCAGCTGTCGAAGAATCCTGCTCCTCCCCTCCTATTGTGCAACAGTCACGGGCTTCTCCTCGAGGCTCCAGGGCCTTGTTTACAAATTATTAGCGGCCAGCCTAACGCACCAGAGGCAGGCCTCGGACCTGCCCTTCCGAGCCCTGGCCCCTAGGGCAAAACAGCAACGCCCGTCTGCGGGAAAAGGAGCCTCCCGCATTCCACCCGTCGATTTGCACGAAACCCGGCCCCGTGCAAATCCACACGCGCCGGGCAAGCGGGTTTCCCCTTTTAAGCTTCAACGGGGAAGCGCTGCTTCCACCCAAGCCTGCCGCCATTCAGCACAAGCACGCGGCGCCACCGCCGTTGCAGGCCCCCTATCGGGCTGGGAGCGACGAAGCCAGGGCCCCGCGACCCTCGGCCCGCCTGTCCCGTTAAAGCCAGCCAGTCTGGCGGCCCAGAAAGCCGCTAAGCCGAGCAGGCTTGAGGCTTCCGGCTTCCATTTCCCACCTCCGCAGCAAATAGCTACGCTGTATTCCACGTCGTCCCCTCAACACGCCCACTCCCCTCGAACCGAAAGCACAGCCCAAGCGCCCTCGCCCCCTTTTAAAGCGCTCGCGGAGCTACGACCGGCCGGGCGCGAGCGAGCACGCGCGCCGCCGCCGCCCCCGCGGTCCCGGTCCCCGCTCCCCAGGCACGAGCGCTGCCATGCACGCCTGCAAGAGGGGGGCGAGCGAGCGAGCACGAGACGCCTGGGACGCGCCGGCCAATGAGCGCCCCGCTGGGCCTCCCTCGCCATGTCTCGCCCTCCTTTTTTACCTCCAGGAGTGGTGGAGAACAGGGTGCCCCCGGGCGTGGTGCAATAGTCATGAGGTAGCTGCGAGGAGTCGCTGATGGGCACCGTCCTGGTGGGGATGGCGCGGCTCTGGCTGTGCTGGTGGCCGCTGCCGGAGGAGGACATCTCCCTGTTCTATTGTCCCGGAGGGGAAAGAAGAGAAATAAAGTAGCTGGGCAGAGAAAACGCGGGGGGAGGAGGAGGAAAGAAAAGGTGGAGGGGACGGAACAAGGACGCTGAAGGAGGAGGTGGTGGGGGCGGCGGCGCTGGACTTTCTTGGGGACGAGCGGTGGGCGAGGGCCGCCTTCCTCTCTGGCTCCGGGGCACTCTTCTCTTCGACCACCGCCTCCACCGCCACCTTCTCCTTCGGCCTCCGCCAGCAGCAGGAAACGGGGGGGCCTGGAGGGGAGGCGGGGACAGGCGGCGAGGGAGGGGCAGCGCGAGGAGGCGGGAGAAGGCGGGCAGTCCCGTGGGCTGTGGTGGTTGCTGCCGCTCCTACAGCGCGCAAAGGCAGCGCCTCGGCGACCCGAGCAGCGGAAGGTCGGCGCTGGCGACGTGAACGGTTAGCTCCAGTCGCGCTCGCCGCGCTCTTCAGCTGATCGGGCGCAACGTTTTGGCGAGCCCTGGACAAGGAAGGGGCAGGGTGTTTTCTTCTCTTTCCAGATCGGGGCCAAGCGCAGGAAGGAGACCCTGGGCGTCTCGGAGCACTTCTGGGCATGTTGGCGCATGGCGCCTCTTCTAATGGTTTTGCTTCTGCGACTGCGCCCACATTTGGGTAAATGCGGCCTGTTCACGGTCACATTGGAGTAATGTTATTACCTCTACAGTGCTCTTTCACCAAGGTGCCCAGAGCGGGCGTACTACCTGCAGAATAAAACAATGCAATTTAAGTACAGAAATATAGAACTCGGGGAACTTCTGATCGGTATGTATAAGGTGAGGCTGCAGAAAAGTCAAAACAAGTTGACTTGCTTTAATACAGGCTTGTCTCTCCCAGCCAGGGCCAAGAGAAGGCAGATAAGGCAGGGCGTTTGGTGGACCATCTTGGCAGTATTGGCTAACTAAACACACATCTGGTTTTCTGCACAAAGCTTGCTTGGAACAGATAGAGAACATGCGCCCACTTAACATTAACACCCTGGCATTGTTATTCTAAATTCAATGGAACATGTTCCCCAGGGAGTTTGCATCACTGGTTCTATGTTGCACACATGTTTCTGACACTTGCTATGGTGTTAACAGTGTTAGTCGCAAAGTTGTGTCCGACCCGTTGCGACCCCATGGACAACATTCCTCCAGGCCTTCCTGTCCTCCACCATCCCCCGGAGTCCACTTAAGCTCACACCAACTGCTTCAGCGACTCCATCTAGCCCCCTCATCCTCTGCTGTCCCCTCCTTCTTTTGCCATCTATTGTTCCCAGCGTTAGGCTCTTTTCCAGGGCGTCCTTCCTTCTCATTGGGTAGCTAAAGTATTTGAGTTTCATCTTCAGGATCTGGCCTTCTAAAGAGCAGTCAGGGTTGATCTCTAGGACTGACCAGTTTTTCTTGCAGTCCAAGGGACTCGCAGGCGTCTCCTCCAGCACCACAATTCAAAGGGCTCAATTCTTCAGCACTCAGCCTTCCTTATGGTCCAGCTTTCACAGCCATACATTGCAACTGGGGAAACCATAGCCTTGACTATATGCACTTTTATTGGCGGGGTGATGTCTCTGCTTTTTAGTATGCTGTCTGGATTTGCCATAGCTTTCCTCCCAAGGAGCAAGCATCTTTTAATTTCTTGGCGGCAGTCCTCATCTGAAGTGATCTTGGAGCCCAGGAAAATAAAATCTGTCACTACCTCCATTTCTGCCCCATCTATTTGCCAGGAAGTGAGAGGACCGGATGCCATGAACTTAGTTTTCTTAATGTTGACAGTGTTTAGGCACACCGAAATTAAGTATCTAAAGCTTTTCCAGTCAGATCTGCATGCCACAGAAAGCTTTCCCTGCTTAATTCCTGCCTTCCTGGCTATTGTTAATCCTGCAAGAGCAGCAATACTACTGTGAAAGTTGCTCATATGTTCATATCCTGTCTACCATTGGTTGATTAAATACAGAGAACCCTGGACTAGCCATTAAAGGGACTTATGTAGTAGCTTTTCTTACCTTGTTCAGCAAGCTACATATGTCAAACTTTCCACTTGAGTAAAAGACTGTTTCCGTTCTTTGTATATGGTGACCCAAACTTACAAAAACAGCCACTGTACCCTTGCACACACTTTTACACACATGCATTAAGTGTGGCCAGGTAATTGTATAGAGCCCTTTTGACAGAACTGTTGCGCTCCAGAGTAGCAGGCTTAGAATCCTCTGAAGCCTAGTCCCAGAATTAACTTAGCAATCATGTCAAGGCAGTAGTTATGTTCGTTCCTGTCTTGTGCTCAGCCCTTTTCTTATTGCCCTTAAGCTCCACAACACCAAGATCTTAGCAATGTAGATCTTTATTGGCACTTCTCAGCTACAAGACAAAGTAACTCTAAAAACCCTCTAGTGAATTGAAAGATAAGCCTCTGCTCAGGCCAAGAGTCCTGAACCTAAACTACTTCCCAAAACCCTTCCCTTTCAGTAACTCTCTACGTGCCACCCTCAGACTGGTTCCTGCTGGTGAAGGGCCAGCAAGACCTACACAAACCCTCAAACTGGGAAGCTTATCTGTACTTTTGTGAACCACCCAGACAGCTTTGGCTGTTGGGTGGAACAGAAATTAAATAAACACATAAATAGTGCCTCATCATGGGGTTGATGACTGGGCAGGACAACAGCTCTCCCTCCTCCCTTTCGTGGACACCTCCAGTCTCTTCCAAAACATTTCTGCTCTCCTGGTCAGCCTGGGAACCTGTGGGCAGCCATCTTGAGCATGCTTCAAAGCATGCCTCTTCCTGAGTTTCCACAATTCCCATCAACAAGTCTTCAAGGACTTCTTCATCTTCCGAATCTAGGCCATGCTAACTCTGGGATGCCCACCTAGTGTGGCATTCGGTTTCACTCACAATAGTTTCTTGTTGCAAAATCAAGAGAGCATTGACACACCATAAAGATGAACAAATGTATTATGTATGGTGTAAATATTCATTGTCCCAGCCCATGAAAGCTATGCCATAATAAGTGTGTTAGTCTTCCAGATGTCACAAATATCTTCATAATAGTTGAAACTTAATGTATTCATAACATCAGTCTCTCTCTCTCTCTCTCTCTCTCTCTCTCTCTCTCTCTCTCT